CTTAAAACGAAATTACAAGAAAAAGACAAGCGTGCTTCCTGTCTACTCAATAATGAGATTGTTTTTTCTACAACGTGATCCAATAGTGCCTTTCACACACTTCAATCCATACTCACACATTATCAGCATTCTATTGAAAGACACATTTTTCTATGGCTCTGTCTCATTTATTTTTATTTTTTTATTTTTGTATTGGACATTTCGAAAGTGTATAAGCCCAAACGTTAACCATTGTCCAGTCTAATTATCTCCATCACTGTGGGCCTCTAACCTAATATTTACTTTGATTACGCTCCCATTGAAAAAACATTTTCAAAATTGATAGATCTGTGAGTTATTTGGATAATTTATGACCAGCCCCATTTCACCAAGGGACACAACTCATGCGGCACCCCAAACCGTTTAACCATAATCCAATTTGCATATAAATAGATTTGGACTCTTTGCAAAAGTGTTTCCTCTTTGTACACACACACAAACACAGACCCAAATAATGCATACAGCACAAGCACATGGCCTCACATAGAAACACACTGGTTTTTTTTCTCGTTTATTTTTTCTGTTCATTATTAAATTTTCCCTCATGAATAGGCCTTCAGTAAATCAAACATTAGGAGACATTATATTCCTCGTCATGCTGGGTCCCTGGCTATCCCATTTCTGATAACGGCAAGAGCATTTATCTTTTCAGTGTTTTTGTTCCACACATGCAAATGAATGACTGCGTTGCTGAGATTAGTTTGCAACATTAACTATTGCTTGTGGTGTTTTTAGTATCAGTTGTCTGGTTTAGTTATATGTGATTGTGTGTAATATAAGAATAACTCACCAATCGTGCAATCAGGTGCAGGTTGCATTTTCTAATTGTTGGGTCAAACAAACCCATAATGATGTCTTATCTTAGAGACATTTTGGACCGATGCTGATTTCCTCTCCGGTTCCTTTTTTTTTTCTCTCAATGTGGTAGATATGGCTCATAGCCCAGGGGTCTATTAAACTATTTCAAAAATCGATTGTAAAGGTAATTCCTTAAAATTTACCATCAGCACTGAGGCTTTAAAATAAAACGGGCTTGTGGAAACAATGTTGCGTTATGGATAAACCCCTGAGGCTTAGCGTCTTCATTTTGAGAATTTGATTTCAGCGTGAATGTTCCTCCTGTAAATGAAAATGGTTTTGTAACAGGGTCATTTTTATCAGCAGAATTTTGGGCAAATATTTATGATAGCTTTTGTACAAGGACCTCGACAGACCTGCTTCTAAAAGCACCTCACTGTAAAACAGAACTTTTTTTTTTTACTTGCTATTCAGAACAAATTGAATAGCATACCTGTGTGGTTGAGCAAATAATTCACCTAAGCTTTGACTCTTTTCTAGACAGATAAATGATAATACACCACAACCATACCATGTAAACACATTTATACTGTAGAATGCTTACAGAAGTTTGTTTTTTATCAACTTTTTGACTGAACGTAGCAAACATTTTAAATACATTTTTGATAAATTTAACATTGAAAAAGCCAAACAGTGCATAGCTTCAACCAAAAATAATAAAACTTTACTTTAACACTAAACACGTCAAAAAAAAAAAAAAAAAATCATTTGAAATCTGCTATTTGCTTTATGTTGACGTACAAAGACTGTCTGAAGCATTAACTTGTTGGGGACACATGTGAGGAAGTTTGCTCATGTGCAGTGTTATACTTGTAGTTAGTAAATGTGGGATGTTTAATCTGAATTACCGTTAAATATTTGGAAATATAAAGTGTTTTGTGTCCGCATTAGAAACTTATTCCATATTATTTTACTCTCATCTCCTCTCAAGCATCACAGTTCTGTTTCAATCATTTCTTTTAAAATAAAAATCAAGTTTAAATGTCATCTTGGTGAGCAGCATTACCATATCGAACATAACTTGTAGATGGTTAGAGCAGGTGCAACAATATATTTGAGTTTGTTCATTGTAGATTGTTTGTGTGTCTTTGTTAATGAAGTCCAGGCCAGAGCAGCCTCAGTGTGGAAACCTCCTCAAAGATGACAGATCTCCTCCTAAAGAAGATCGAGTTAAAGACTGCATTAACACCAACCCCTGGACCTGCTCTGTATCAGGTAGGTCCTGTGAAAATTAGATTCCACTCCATTTACAGCTGCTGTAAGTCTTAATATACTTTATTTTATTTTATTGTTTTACATTTGGCTTTAGCTAATAGACTGACATTTTGTGTTGTTTGATTAAAGCTTTGGTTTTATTGTGTCTAAATAACTCACACTGAATGTGTGATGGTAGTTCAGTTGGACTTGAGTCTGTTATAAACACAAGTTTTAGTGCGCTGTCTGTCATTGCTCGTGCCGTAATCTCTTTAGAATCTGACATATTTCTCTCTCTGACCTTGAGTTGCACAGAATAAATTGGTTGCCTTGTTAGAAAAACAAATTCAAACTTGAGTATGCTTTGGTGGTATTGGGCAATCTCCATCTGAGCTATCCGATATCGACAAATGCAGTTTTCTGGTCAGGACAGCTTTTCATTGTGGTCAGATGTATAAACATTAAACTTGTTAGGTGTGTTGTATAAAGTAGCCAGCAAAAACTGACTGAAATAAATGCACTCTTCAAGCATTCCCTATATTTATGAAACAGCTCAATCAGACTGTGCTGTGTTTTAGTGGATTTATTACAACTTTTGGTATCAGAGTGTCATAAAACTGAAGATTTTAATAAAAAAAAGGCCACACTCAATAATCCAGGTATACAATCCAACAATTTTCAGTCAGGTCATCTGGACAGTTTCTTTTTTTCCTGAAACGTTTCACCTTCCATCCAGAAGGCTTCATCAGTCAAGGAAACACACAACACAAAACTGATTCTTCCCCCAACAGCTTACTCCAAGTGGAACAAACCAGTTATGTTGGTGCTAAGATGGTGTCGTTGGCACGCCCCCTCCTCTTGTGCCGGCCCTCTTCCTCGTCGACAGTCATGTCAAACTGGTTCAAAACCAAAAAAGTCCACGCTCAATAGGATTCAAGGTCAAGTTGACAAATCAAGGTCGAATGGCTTACAAGGCTTGTTTGAGCCATAACTTCTGATCTGCTCAAGATAATTTAATGAAACTTGGTACACATTTGTACCAATGCTAGTGTGTTGCATTATTTTTTCATCACCTCCGTTTTAAAGTCAAGGTCACAAATCAAAATCAAGTGTATGAAAGATCTTTGCATATTTACTATATTTATTGTTTTATTGTTGTATACGAGTTTGTCGACGGGTGTGCTATGTGCCGTATGCTGTACTCTGGGATCACGTTGACTACTCTGTTTTGTTGTTTGCGATTAAGGCAAGAGATTTATCATGTTGCCTTCAAGAACACCCGCTAAGCTTGTGTCAATATTATTTAATGCAAACTTTTTGTTTATGTGAGAGTAACACAGGGCCTCTGAAGCACAGCGAGAACTAACACTTATCTTCATTCAACTCGATCAGCTACAGAGCCGCAGTTCAGTGGAAGTTCAAGTCCTCTTCTGAAGTCTTTTAAACCCGATCTGTCTGCAGAGTTCTCACTGCAGGTTTCCTCTGTTCCCAACAGTGCAATTTAAGTCTTTCTTCTTTCTCTGTGCAAACTGCATTGTAACTTGAACAGATGTGCATTTGAACCTAAATTTTGTTACAAGAGATGGAAAATCTTGTTTAGCAAATTGTTTTACTCATTTTTGAATATGACTGAGGTATACCATCTATTGTTGGTTTGCGACATTCCTGTTGATGAACACATTTGTTTTCATGTTCCAAGCAAAGTCATAAGAAAAAAGAAGTCTATGCGATTACACGGTTTACATTCAGTCTTTGTATAAAGCAAAGGAGAGAGTTATGCAGAATGCAAAGCAATTTTTCTACACATACAGGACTAGATTTTTACATATTGTGTTTGTTACCATGAGCTTTTATTACTTAACAATACATTTCTGGTAAGGAAAATAAATCTGTCGACATGCTAGACAACATTTAGACATTAAAATCTGTATTTGTCCAGTACTTGACAGATTTCTTATTTCAGTCCTCTTGGAGAAGTTGACCTGTGCTTTAATCTATTTAAGCTGCCATTTGCTTTTTGATGTCTCTGTTCTTGTAGTATCTGATTTATTTATTTATTGTTACAGCTGATTTATGTTGAGGTTCACAGTCACGCTGCAGAATGAACTTGACCAAAAAAAAAGGAACTTAATAGACATTTATGAAGAAAGCTAAAAATCAAAAGCCCCAAACTTTTTCCCAGTACTGTATTGTACTTTTTATAACTTCTACCTTTGTAGACATGTATTTTTGAATGTGCTTTTATCACTGCATGCTTTCTGTTCTGTCTCGCACCTTGCCTCTCTGCTTCATTTATTTCTGTTACATAATAAAACCGTAGCTGCAGAAATTTTCCCACTGACAGGAGCTTTTAGAACCCCAAGGATGTGATAGGATTCTTCTCTCTTTTCTCTTCTGGAATGTGTAAACCTGAGGCGGTGAGTGAAATCCTTCATTATATCTCATCAGCTGATGGACTCAAGCCACTTCAGTTGTCTTAGTGCACATAAACGTAATTGGATTGGTTTTGCTGAACACTCTAGCAGGTAGTTAAATGATCAGATGTTCAATACCGGCCTGTTTCATCCTATAGTTCAAAGACATGGAAGTGAAGAAAACGGGAAATTGCTTGTAGGAGTAAACGATTGTAATTTGGTAAGTGTCACGACTTTGAGCTAGAATCTTCTCTGGAGTTCCAAAATAGATTTGTTGCAAAATAAGGTGATAGTGGATTAGTTGAACTGTTCCCACCACTGATGCTTAAAACTAACGGCTATTAGTGGAACAAATTTTTAGTTTAACCGATTAGCGTTTTTGCTAACTTGTTAAACCGTTAGCAGAATTGGCTTCCGCTAAAATATATTTTGCCAACTTCAATTCCACTAACAATTGGAAAGCTTGTTCCTGTCTGTTGTGGGCGTGTCTTGAAGAGTCTGTTAAGCACGCTATTGGCTTACTACGTGTACACGCGACAAGACGTGATTGGCCGACACGGCTTCAACTGGAAGGAGATGAAGACGTGTGACAGAGACTGAGTGACAGTCGTTTTAGCATTTAGCAGTTTAGTGTTAGCTTCCGCAATTTTTTAAACATTTTTTAGTGTTTTTGTTTAGCTGTGCCCACCACTGCTAAGCATGCGTCCGAGGCAAAAAGGCCTTCTCCTACTCCGCTCCTGTTTCCTGGAATATCTTGCAAAAAGACCTGAAGCTCTCGACCTTGACCTCGCTAAGTGGCTTCAAACAACTGCTAAGTTCCTGGCAAAGACCAATGCAGACGTGTTCCTGTTTTTAGTTTTATACACCGCCTTATAATCTAGCCGTTTTTTTGTTTCATTTTTTTAACACCATTTTATTTCACTTGTTAATCTCAATTTATATGTATCCTTTATGATGTTCCACTGGTGTCATCAGTCTTTGTTCAAATCAGGTCTCTCTTGTAAATGAGCCCCTGAGGCTCAATGGGATTAACCTGTATAAATAAACGTTGAATGAATGCTAAAAATTTTACATGTAAACTGAGTCATTGAATATTTTTGTTCACAGAAATCTCTCCTAATAAATGTTAAAGATTTTACTAAACGTTAGCCCAGGAGTGTCAAACTCACTTACACAAGGGGGCCAACATTAAAATATTTTCAAACTAAGGGCCAATTTCAGAAAATACATGAACTCAAATCAGATACCCAGCATCTTCTCTTGGTCACAGGTTCCTCAACAAGAGTTTGATTGGTCTCATTTGATGTTCTCTGTTGTGCTTTCAGCATCATAATCAAAGATTACTGAAAAAATGCAAGAGATAGAAGAATTGTAAGATTCATACATCATCTTGGGGGCCAGATACGATGTCAACGAAGGTCACATTTGTCCCCGGACCTTGAGTTTGTCACACATGCGTTAGAGACATTCACGCCTGTAGTTTTTGATGCTTAAGCTAGGATACAGCTTTTATATGACTGTAACTCAACACAGGTGCACAGCTCCACTGTGGTACTGCAACATCACCTTTATTATGTTGGCTGACCTCATCTGTAAAGGGGATTGATTTAAGGCAGACTTGGTGTTGTTTGAGGAGCTCACCATTGCAGCAACTGGTCATCGTTTGCTTTTGTTGTTTTGGATTTGTATCATAAATCAGCCATTTTTAATAATAAAAAGTCAAACTGTTAACTAAAGTGCTTAGTTAGGGTTTTATGTTTTAGCAAAACAATCTTGGTTTGAAGCTCATCTGGGATAAGTTCTGTATCTTTGAAACTTTTTCACATGACACAGGTCATACAGAGTTACAAATTACATAAAGCAGAACAGAGATGAAAATACAAGTGGAATATATAGGCAGGCAGAGAACAGGATGATTTTAATGAGAGAAGCATGATGTTAGAGAGAATAGATGGTAACAGGTGACAAAGTGCTGAAAAAGGTGTCAGAAATGCATACAAGAAGAGAGAGAGACAGATAGCAGCTAATTGATCTACTGAAGAGGGTGTTCGTTTTCAACAGCTTAAAATATTTTCAGAGCAGCTGCAGTCCGAAGCAGACGTTCACGTAATGGAACAGTACTCATTTCAGGATTCAGCTATCTCATCGAGCTGCATTAGTTCACAGTGAGGGCTCCTTTAGTCATTTAGTATTTTGGTAAATGCATCATGAGGTCTGCTTCTGCAAAGTATGCTTGAATCTTTTTTTTTATTTTTTTACCTTATTCATTCAGTTTGAACACTCACACATTTACTTTACCTATTACTTGTGCTCATGCTGAATACAAGGGCATAAACTAAAGTAAGATACTCAAGTCAAGTCACTGATATTTATGAGTCAGAACAGTAGGTGTCCTCATGACAGCTGGCATTCTGTCAGCCTTTTTTTTTTGCACTTTGTTTATGCCTTCAGATGAATTTCTGTATTTCTACTCTGATTTTTTTGTTGTTTTCATTATTTGATTCAGAGCGCTGTAAACTCTGAATACATTTGCAGTCATTGAACATGCATATTTTTTGAGAAGTACATGTTTGCTCTGAAAATTATTTTTTCTTAATGTTGCGCGATAAACAACCACTAACCACTGCTTATTTTAATTGGACATGTTTTTGCACTTACCACATTTACAATCAAACATAGTAAACAGTATAACAACTTTTCTTAAATTAACTCTTCGTTAAAAGATTGCTATTTTTAACCTTGTTACCATATGTGTGCTGTTATGTTTGGCACAATAAAACCCCAACAGGCTATATTCTTACAGAACTCAGCCACTGATCTGATCAGCAGTAAATGATAACTAATAGAGAACATCGGTGGGAAATGAGTGTTATGTGATGAAGTGAAACCCCCGAAAGAAGACCTTCTGTAGGCAAATCGTTAAAACTAAAAGTTTAAGACAGTATAAAACTAAAAGCACAGCAGGCTAGGAAATTCAAAGAACAAAATCAAAATGTATCCAGAATGACTAACAAGCACAAACTATGCAGGTGGAAAAGTGAAACAATGATTTGACAGAGAGTAAAGAAATGAGAGCAGGAACTATGCTGAGAGGTAAATGGGACAAAGGGAGCAAGTCAGCAGTAACTAGTTAGAAAACCCTTGTCTAAAACACAGAACAGCTAGACACAGTGAACAGGCGGAAGGTTTTCAAAATGCAGGAGATTGAAAAATACTACCTACCACAAAAACAAGAATACTACAAAAAATTGGAAAACTAAAATGTAATATATACCCCCCCCCCCAAACACAACTAAATTCATAACTACGACACAGAAGGCCATTAATCACAAAGTCTAGGTATGATCCATTTAACAGGTCATAACCATGTCAAAACCATGTCAAAACAGTCCACTAGATGGGTCTGAATATAGTAAAAAAATAAATAAATAAAACTAGCACCTTTTCTTTAATCATCCACCTCTATTACAAACAGCAAACATTGAAATTATGCAGAGAAAGCAATACTCTAGTGTTTACTTCAGTGCAGGGGCGATTCTAGGATCTCACCTTTGGGGGTGCTCAGCCCCCCAGTGTTGACAATGGCCCTTGGCTTGAACAACGTGATGGCCATTGGCATCAGAAGCGTTTGTAAAGCACATTGGTGGTGGTGGTGGGAGGCGGGGTCTGGGGGGTCTTCCTGCAGGAAATTTTGAATAAAGTAAATGCCATTTTCTGCATTCTAGTGTATTTTAATGAGTTGTTAAACATCTACATTTACATAAGTAAACACGATTCAATAACTGTTTTAGAGAGCATGGCACAACAAGAAGCGGCACACAATACAGATGCGCTAGCTAAGATGCTGCAGATGCAGCGCTCCACTTTACAACCTAATAAAGGCTTTGTACAAAATCAGTTTAGTGGTAACTGATCATAACAGAGACCAAACTTATGCAAACAGAAGTTGCAACAAATATCTACATATAAAACACACAAACCAAAGCACAACTAGCTTTAATTAACCTTTAATTTAACCGTTAAGCATACAATGTAATTATGACAGAAAATGGAGGATTGACCTGCAGTTACCTTTGTACAGATGAACATGCGGTACTTCCTGTTAATCACTGTTGTATTCAACTGCTCATGGGGTGGGCTGCTGGTCGTTATCATCTTTTACATTTTTCTACACTTTGTTCAGGTTTTGGAAATTTAATACAATATAATACAATACAACTTTATTTATAAAGCACTTTAAAACAACACCGTTAGCCAAAGTGCTGTACACTAGCACACACAAGTAAATACAATACATTAAAGTGTATTACATCCTCTTAATGCTCAGGGTAACACATATCTGAAGTATTACAACATTGAACCATTTTTCTTGATAAGTTTCTTTGAAATCCCTCTGACCGCAAAGTGTTCAATGCAAAACTTCGACAATGTTGTTGGAGAAAAAGGGGGTGCAGCTCCATCAGGTAAAGGGCGTTTCACTTGGGGACAAATTGAGATCGCTCATTGGTCAGTTGCTGACGAGCTTGTTGGCCTAATTGACAGGTGGTATCGAGGATCCGACTCGTTCAAAAAAATCTTAGATTTTACTGGTCTAAGACTGCCATCATTTATTCCAAATATTTTGGTAAATCTAAGGTAAGCTTCCTTACAAAACCCTAATGATGGTTTCGTTATTTTTCAGGGGTGCTGAGTTCAAATTTAGGGGTGCTTGAGCATCCCCCAAAAAAGGCTAAAATCGCCACTGTTTCAGTGGCATTGAATGTGGCACTACCTGTCAAAACTAAAGCCAATCTAGTTTTATTCCTTTTTCAGGTCTGAATTTAGAAAAAGATGAAAATCTGTGTGGACAACAGGTCATATTATTGTTGCAAGTTAAGCTTTCCACTGAGTGTTAATCCACCAAAACACAACGTGTGTTGTGTTCCAAGTCCTCCCCATTTACAAATTATGCTCAGGGTGCTCCTCTCCTGCTCCAAAATAACACACGGTTTCCAGGTGTTGACGGTTCTGCTCATTAGAGCGGCAGACCAGGCTTCCATGAGAGTGGAGAGCGCTGTAGGCAATCAGCAGAAGAGGAAGGTAGACCCTATTTACATATTCATAGAGCCCTAAAAAATAAACTAAGCAGAAGTTTAGAGTTATTTCCAGACCGTTTAAAAGCATTAAAGCCTAAATCACAAAACATCTTCCATGTTAATTGTTTTCATAATCATATGTAATATTTTTAAGAACTCTCTGGAAAAAAAAAGAGATGATTTCAGGTAAGTCTGCAGGAATATTAACTTACTGAAGTTTATCAGAAAGAGTATAGTCTCTTGGTTTTAAAGCAGTCAGTACCTTGATCACTCTTTTATTTCATTTCCGCAGCCATACTTGCCACATTTCATGTAGTATTTCAGACGCCCCTTCATGGTGCGCCTGAGTGGGGAGTGACGAGGCAACAAATGCAAAGTTCACTTAATTACTGTTTCAGCATTTTGTTATGTTGACTGAACTGATGATGAAATCAAGCTGTATGTAAATTAGATCCCTCTTCTTGTTCGATCCCTGTTCGTGAGGCGCTAACCACTCAAGATGTTTATTAATCAACATATTTGTTT